TGGTTTCAAGGAGGCCGAGGACAACTACACCAAGCAGGTTAAGGCCACCAAGGACATATTCTTTAAGTCCGGTTGGAAGGCTGCCTGTGAACATCTCGGCCAAGGATCTGGAACCGAGGTGTTTGCCTCTCCCCTAACTGCCTTTCTCCCGACCTACATGGTGCCATATGCAAACGAAGTCTTTAACGCTTTGTAAGAGGAGGCCGAGGAAGAGATAGAACAGGACGCGGACACCGAGGAAGCGGGCCACCCAAAGGAGGCCGGCCAGGTTGGTTCCAGCGCCCATGAAACTAGCTCCACGGTTGACCTGGAGGCAGCTACAGAGGGCACCGAGGACGACTTCGCTGACCTTTCCCCCTTGGACTAGTCTTTTTTTTTGTTTTGTTTCTTTTTTGAACTGGGAAATGTAACTGGGCTGCCTTCTTGCCCCACCATATGTAATACATTTAATCATCAATGAAAAGTTCTCATTTTGTTTACTGTTGCACTGCTTGTTGTACTACATTTCATCATCTCGGCAGGAACCTTTGAGTTGGGGAAATCACCAACACCTTTAGTCGTGGTAGGTTATCTCGGCTAGGACCTTTTGAGTTGGACACATCACCGACTTTTCTAGCCGTGGTAGGTTATCTCAGCTAGGACCTTTTGAGTTGGACACATCACTAACTCTTCTAGTCGGGGTAGGTCATCCCGGCTAGAACTTTTGAGTTGAGCAAAACATCAACTCCGTTAGCAGGGGTAAAGCATCTCGGCTAGAGCCTTGAGTTGAGCAAAACATCAACTCCGTTAGCCGGGGCAAAGCATCACGACTAGAGCCTTGAGTTGAGCAAAACATCAACTCCATTAGCCGAGGTAAAGCATCTCGGCTAGAGCCTTGATTTGAGCAAAACATCAACTCCATTAGCCGGGGTAAAGCATCTCGGCTAGAGCCTTGAGTTGAGCAAAACATCAACTCCATTAGCCGGGGTAAATCACCTCGGCTGAAACATGAGAGTATGCCCCTCAGTCGCTACATTACCTCGATCACAACAAACTTCTCCAGTAAAGATAATTTACTTCTATTACACTTGGCAAAAAGAGTATTACATTCAGAAGTATAAGGAAACTAAGTCCTTCCACAAAAAATTACGTAAAAAAAAAAAGACAAAAACTAGAAATAGTACAGTTTGAGGTTAGCCGCATTCTATGGCTGGGGTACGCCTTTGCCATCTAAGTCCTCTAAGTGGTATGCCCCCTTGCCCGCCAGACCGATTATCCTGTAAGGCCCTTCCTAGTTTGCCCCTATCTTGCCTTCGCCCGGCACCAGTGTGTTGCCCATCACCTTCCTTAAAACCCAATCCCTCACTTTAAACGGTCTGGGGTGCACTGTTTTGTTGTATTTCCTGGACAATTCCTCTTGGTATGCGGCCACGTGGATTAGAGCTTTTTCTCAGCGCTCGTCAGCTAGGTCCAATTCCAGGGCGACAGCTTTAGAGTTCAACTCGGGCTCAAAATTTTCACTGCGGATAATGGGCATGCCGATTTCCAATGGGATGGCCGCCTCCATGCCATATGTCAGGGCGAAAGGAGTTTCCCCGGTGGATCGCCTCGGGGTCGTTCGATATGCCTAAAAGACACTTGGGAGTTCCTCGGTCCATTTTCCTTTGGCTTTCTCTAGTCTTTTCTTCAACCCATCGAGAACGGTCTTGTTTGATGCTTCGGCTTGGCCGTTGGACTGCGGGTAAGACAGGGTGGAATTGTAGAATTCGATCTTCAACTCCTCACAAAATCCTCTGAACAGTCGCCCGTCAAACTGAGTGCCATTATTAGATACCAAAGCCTTGGGGACGCCAAACCGTGTTATCACATTCTGCCAAACAAACCGTTTGACATCTTTTTCTTTGATGGTCGCTAAGGGCTCAGCTTCCACCCATTTGGTGAAGTAATTTGTCGTCGCAATAAAGAACTTCCAGTTGCCTGGTGCTGTTGGGAGTGGTCCCACTATGTCCAGCCCTTACATTGCGAATAACCAAGGACTTGGGAGGGGGAGAAGTTCTCTGGCCGGCTAGTGAATTTGATGGATGAATTTCTGGCATTTTTCGCACTTCCTAACATATTTTTGCGCATCTGCCTGCATGCGCGGCCTTGCGAAATGGCGCGATAGGCCAAAGATCTCCCCCCGGTGTAACTGCCGCACATGCCTTCGTGGATCTCGTAGAGGAAAGCTTCCACGCTATTTGGATGGACACACTTAAGGTACGAATCGGTGAATGACTTCTTGTATAAGGCACCAGATGGAGAGAGCCAAAATCGCTCTGACTTCACCCGGATTTTATGCACTTCTTTTTTATTGGCCGAAAGGGTCCGTTCGTTCAGGAAAAGAATAATAGGGTCCATCCAAGAGGGGCTAAGCTCAACGCAGAGTACTTCTGTCTGCTCGGATTCTTCAATACTCGGCCTTGGAAGAAACTCAATCAGGAGAGGACTGGAAAATGAACTATCGACCATGGAAGCTAGACCGGCCAACTCATCCTTACGGCCGTTTTCTTTACGACCAATTTGTTGGACCCTTATTGCTTAGAATTGCTTGATGTGTTCTCTTACCAAAGCTTGGTACTTGGCCATTCTGTCATCTTTGGCTTCGTACACCCCAGACACCTGGTTGACAAGAAGTTGGGAGTCGCTGTAGACCATTAGCTCAGATGCGCGCAACTGGAGCGCGCTCTTAAGCTCGGCCAGCAGTGCCTCGTACTCAGCCTCATTGTTTGACGTAGGGAATCCGAGTGTGATAGAATGTTCGATGGTCAGACTGTCTGGCGAGATCAAAACTATGCCCAGCCCGGCGCCGTGTCGATTCGAGGCGCCGTCTACGAAAAGTTTTCACATTTTACCGACAAAGAGTTTCCAACACTCTAAGGGGTCTTAGGAGGCTTGAAAGTCGATGGGATCACGTTCGCTCGGCTGTTCGGCTTCAACTTTGTTACTGTCTATTTCAACGAACACGTCTTCATCCCCCATTGGTGATGCTACGTCGGACCCAACAGGTTGATCTGTTATTCCCAAGTCCATCGTCGCATCGCTGGGCTAAAGTACACTGCCAACTGAAGGTTCTATGGATGGGCGCGCAAGTTCCGCGTCGCTAGCATCACTCTATTGTGTAATTTCCTCTAGGCTGACATTCGCCACCCCGGCTTCTGCGGTAAGATCCACCGGGCAAACCGAGTGAACTCCAAGCGAAAATTCAGTAACAAAGTTGGCGAAGGCTTGGGCTTTGAGGGCGGCTTGGGGTTGAAACTTGACGTCAAATTGCCCCAATTCAACTACCCACTTCAGAATATGACCGGAGAAATCCGTCCGCTCGAATAAGGCTTTCAGAGGAAATTCAGTCAATACCACGATCGTGTGAGCATGAAAGTAGTGCGCCAATTTCCTGGAGGCCATCATTAGGGCCAAAGTAGTTTTTCCAGCGGCAAGTACCTCGACTCTGCCGGTAGCAAGATTTTGCTCACGTAAAAGATAGGGAAATGCTAGATGCCTTCTGATCGGACAAACACCGCACTAACTGCATGTTGAGAAACTACCAGATAAAGGTACAGTTCTTTGCCGGGCTTGGGTGTCACCAATAATGGGGCGGAAGACAAATACGCCTTGAGCTCATCCAAAGCCCTATCACATTCCTTGTCCCAAGAAAACTTGGACTTCATGGATCGAAAGAAAGGGCGGTAGCGATCTGATGATTGGCTTATGAATCGGTTAAGCGTGGCTGCCATCCCGGCAAGATGTTGTACGTCCTTTGCCGAGTTGGACTGCTTCAATTCTTGTATGGCTTTGATTTGTGTGGGGTCCGCTTCAATGCCTTGGTTTGTGACTAAGAAGCCTAGGAATTTCCCGGATCCCATGTCGAAGGCACACTTTGATGCATTCAGGCGTAGCTTGTATTGTTTAAGAATGGAGAACATCTTGGCTAGGTCGGATAAGTGGTCGGCCTGCTGCCTGCTTTTGACCACCATGTCGTCGATGTATGCCCCCATTGTCCGGCCCAGCAGAGGAGCGAACATTTTAGTCACCATCCTTTGGAAAGTCGCCCCGGTGTTCTTCAAACCAAAAGGCATGACTCAATAGCAGAACAATCCCCTTGGGGTAGTGAAAGAGGTTATCTCGTGGTCGGGGACATGCATGGCGATCTGGTGATAGCTGCGATAGGCATCCAGGAAACTGAGCCTGTTATGCTCGGCCGTGAGATCCACTAGCTGGTCTATTCTGGGCAGAGGAAAGCTGTCTTTGGGGCAAGCTCGGTTGACCGTCTTGTAATCAACGCAAACTCGCCACTTCCCATTCTTCTTGGACACTACGACCGTGTTTGAAACCCACCGAGGGTAGTGCATTTCCTGGATAGCCCTTGCTTCTAGCGGGTTCCTCACTTCCTCCGCGACGACCTCAGCGTGATGAAGAGTCGATCTTCTCGTTCTTTGAATGACAGGACGTGCGTCTGGGAAAACATTGAGTTGGTGGCAAATAAAACTTGGATCAACGCCAGGCATGTCGTACGGCGTCCATGCGAAGACTTCAATATTCGTCATCAAGAACTCTACCATCTCGGTCCTTTCTTGGGCGGTCAGGCTTGACCCTAGCAAGAAGAACTTGTTTGGACTTTCGGCGTCGATCTGTACTTCCACCAACTCTTAAACAGCCTTGTCCTCGGCCTTGGCACCCACGTCATTAAGGACACTTTGGTCTTCCGGACCCTCAATCATTTGCACGAAGCCTTTGGCTGCTCGACTCCTATTTACTGCCACGAAACATTGCTTCGACATGACTTGTTCGCCCCAAATTTCCTCAACTTCCTCCATAGCCGAGGGAAGCCTTATAACCTGGTGGTAGGTTGATGCTACCGCCTACATAGCATGACGCCATCCCCGACCTAAGATCAGGTTGTATGTGAACGGCACCTTCAATACCCAGAACTCCACCTGCTTGACCACGGATCCGGCTTTGACTGGTAAGATTATGTTTCCCATTTTTCACTCCGGTTGTGAGTTGAAACCAACTAGTGGCGAAATTGCTGGAGCCAAGTCTGTATCCCGGAGTTTCAGTTGCTTGAACGCGTCGTAGTACATAATCTCAACCGAGCTTCCTTGGTCAATCAAGATGCGCTTAACATCGAAGTCTCTGACGCGGAGAGTGACTACTAGGGTGTCGTTGTGCGGTGTTAGAATGCGCTTTAGGTCCATAGTTGAGAAACTAACCACATCTTTCTCCTCGGTCTTTCCCTTTTTTATCACGGGCTGGACTGACAAAATTTCCCTCATATGCTCCGCCTTTTTGATCATTCCTCGGAGCTCGCATACCCGCGCCAGCTCCACTATGCCGTGGATCACATTGACCACTCCTTGAGGGGGCGCCTCTAAGTCATCCGAACAACTCAAATCAGCCGGGGTGAGATGCGTGGCCTTAACGCCCCCATCGATGTAAATGTCTAAGTGACTGGCTGCGACTAACTCCTCCAAGTGTTGCTTCAAGGGCAAACAGTCCTCTGTTCGGTGCCCTCGCTCCCTATGATATGTGCAGCGGTACCGCGGATTGAAGCCCTTTTGCACATCGCCTAACTTATCAGGAAACCGGACGTAATCCTCATCGCGAATGTCACTAAGTATGCAATAGTTTGGAATCTTAAATACCATGGTGATGCCCGTTTGTGCGTTCAACCTTCTGTTAGCATCAGCTACATCATTGCGGGGATATTCTTCTCGGTCATTATGGCGACCTCTACCCCGGTTTCTACAATTTGGTCCATGGTCAGATTCTCCGGCGCGATCATTTGGACGGTTATTTTCCTATCTGACAGCGTGTACCTTGCATGCCGCCCTTTTGTCTGTTGCCACTGGATTTGTCTTCGCGGTGGACGTCGCCGCATCATCCTCTACTCGGATGTGCTCATTGATGCGTTGCATTAGTTGCCCCATGGACGTCGGCTGGTTCATTGTAAGCGAGTCCCTCAGCCTATGTCCGACCGGGAGACCGCGCTTATATTGGGTGATTGCCAGGTTGATTGGGCAATCTAGGATCTCATTGAAGGTTTCCCAATACCTGGCGTTGTATGCTTTGAGGGTGTCGCTCGACTCCATCTTAACGCTCAAGAGGTGGTCTACTTCCTTTGGCGTTTGGTGTTAGTTTTGAATCGAGTCACGAATGCTTCTGCCAACTACTGCCACCTTTCGATGCTTTCCTCCGGCAGCCTCTTAAACCATTTCATGCCCAACTCGCCCAAAGTCGACGGGAAAATAAGGCACATGAGAGCGTCATTACGCCTATGTCCGGCCATGACCTGCCGGAAGTGGCTTACATACATGTAAGGATCGGTTTTTCCATCATAAAGCGTAAACTTAGACTGGTGAAAACCTGCTAGGAGCGGTGTGGTCTCTATCTCAAGGGAGAAGGGGTGGCGCTTAGCCTCGCCAAATCTTTGTCCAAAGGGACAGGCATGGCTGAACGGGGTGGTGGCATTATGACCTCCATACTGGCGTGACCCCCGCCAGATAGCCGCTGGAGAGCCGGCACCCTTTGGGTCTCCCGTCGGCGAGCTCGTTCCTTCAAGACAACCCGCAAGTCCTCTGAACGAACAGAATAGGAATATCTCGACGTCGTTGCCGGACGCGAGGGATGGTAGGTACTATCCTACGCGCTAGACTTCTCTGCAGGCGTGTCTGAGTCTCCAACCCTATAGCTTCTGGTGATAAAAAGGGAGGGCGTGTGCCGCTGGCTCTGGCTGCCTGAGCGGCGGGGTTGGGTGCGCTCACTGTGGTCTCTCACTCCAGCAGCACCATTCCCTTTAACCTGCCATTTGAGGGCTTTCATCTCTGCCGCCATTCTCTGAATGCCAGCTTCTTGGTCCCTCAACCTGTGCTCCAGGCGTTGAGCTTGCGACTCTCTTCGCCGTCGGTGTCCGTCCGGGCTCCGTGAGTAACCAAAGCTTCGGGCGCGCTTATCACGCGCTTCTCTGGGAAGACCTCCTGGGGAAGTCTCCAGGTCCGCTATATTCGGAATGGCGGGAAGTCCGTCTCTTAGTTGGACTGACTCTGGGGAGACACCGTCGATGGCAGAAAACGGTATTTCGTCGTTGTTTGCCATGGAAGGCGATCAAATGAGCTTGGAGGACAAGGCTGTGTCTGCAAAACTTCCTACAGACGGTGCCAATTGTACGAGAAGGAAATATTTGACACCACCCGTACTTCTCGCATCCAAGCTGTGTCTTCCTCCGATCGTCCTGCGGACACAACAAAGGTGAACTACCCGGCGGTGTGTTGCTGGAAAACCCCTCCAACGGTCAAGTTAGCACACACTATCAGAGAAAGGAAAAAGAGAGAGAGAGAGAGTGAATCACGATGAGTATCTCTCACCAGATAATGTTCCATTCCCAGCATGGGGGGCGCAGTCATGCTTATATATTTTTTGCGTTCACCTCTGCACCCATTCGCCTATTGATACGTGGAGCTGCTCTCCTATCACGCTCTCCCATCTGTCAGCACAAATTCAGCCAAACACCACCTAATCAAACCGCCAAACAGCATTGGCGGGAACAAGTAGCCCGGCGGCATTATCCCTGCCTCCTACAACCGTGCTACCTAACGAGTCCGACAAAGTCCTTTGCCGAGCTTCATCATAACCAAGCTTAGTAGCATTCCGATACGACCGCGCTCCAGCCAAACCAGGCCAGTCCGCAGAAGACCTTTTTCATCAAGCTGAATGTCCAAACAGTAAAGCCCGGGCTGGCAGAAAACCATCTCGGCTGATGTAGACGTGCCCGAACGTCCCAGCTCCGCGCGCGAAGGCGCGAAATCATTTTGTTCATCAGCTACTATAGTTCGAACTCAATGTCACGGTTCTAAATCTAATCTCACAAAGTACAATGTGAGACCGATAAATCACCAAAGAGTCCAAATCCGACAAATCGTTTTGGAAAATTGATTTTTATAAAGAAGTGCCAAACATGGACTGCTTTGCCAGATACAGAGTCGCCACCTAAATATTTTATTTTGGGGGAATTTAGGAAACCCTGACTCGTGCCTAAGGCCACGTGTCCGTCATCACCAAAGTTGCGTCGGCTCGAGAACTTGGGTACAAGAGAGGAAGGTCATGCAATGAGCACCCCCGCTCGCTCGATCAAAGATCAGCCTTTACTAACATGATATTTTGTTTTTGAAAACACATGTGTTCTTATTCCGGTTATTAATCTATCATTACTTCATCATGCGCACATCTTATAAGTATAGACTAAATTGCCTAAGTTGGAACAAAACATTTCATGTTTGTTTGTTTGGAAATGGTTTGAAGGTGCTACTCGCAAGTAGGCTAAGACGTGGATTTTGCCACCCTCAAGTGGGCTTAGAAAACAAGATTTTGCCACTTCGCAAAGTGGGCTTAAAACTCGCATTTTGATGAATTGTCCTAATTTAATAAATGAAGCCTTCATCCACAGGCATTCATGCAATTAAACACTTAAGTAGTTAGCCTCATGGCAAGCATGCTATCATGGCAACACTCACACTCATGCAAGATACTAAAGCATAAACACTTACAGTGTACTCAGAGCCAAAACAGAGAACTAGTTAGTAATCAATGCATGATCCTAGCTATGTTAAAATGCCTAATGCAGCACATGAAAAAATGCAACTAAAATAGGCTCGGCTATCTAGAATGACATATGAAAATGCAACTTGATAACCATGTATTCAAATCGGTATTGAAATACAATGCAGTTAGTATGATGCGCCGAGCCCGATGCATGCAATACGAATGAATGTATGCAAACATGCTAGCATAAGTATGCTAATTGAAAAATGACCTAGAACTAACCATTGAAAGTGGTTAAGTAAAAGGGAGAAAGACGTGAGGTTTGAAGATATTCACACACACACACACACACACACACACACACACACACACACACTTATTACAAAATTTGCCCTCTCGACGAAGGGTCCGAATAAATCAACTAGCTAGCTACGCTATGCTAATTAATTATTACAAAACCTTAACTAATTATGCAAATTAATTAAGTTACAAAACCAAATAAGCAAGAAAAGAAAGAAGCTGAATCAAGCTGCCACAGCTTTGCCTCGGAATGATGAATGATGCATGCTCGGTTGCCTTGCTCGGAAATCTGTTACCATGCCTCATGTTGCCTCTGTTTGCACTATTTTAGACTTCTAAAAACTGTGCTAATCTCTAAAACTCTTCTGATCCACCTCATGGACATGCTGAGAGGTCACCGGCCATGAGGTGTGGCCATCGGCCAAAGGATAAAGGTCATCGACCAATTTTAAGGCTATCAGCCAATTATTGATAGCCGATCGGCACACTATATAGCTAATCGGCCATGTCTTCCTGCAAACTCTCCTTTTTCCTGCAACAAAGCACAAATAGAGGCATGGCAATGTATTTCCAAGAAAATGTGTGTGCAACTACACCCCTTATCATGTCTAAGGCTCAAAGGTGTGTAGTGCTCGGCTCTCGAGCCATCAATCACGTATTTCGATGCATGATGGCCCCGAGTTGTACAAATCAATGTCAAATGAATGCACAAAAACATATAAATGCCTTAACCTCTGTCAAGCTTGATCAAGAGGGTCGGCGACCAAGAATTGGGGCACGTTTCATCACTTCAAGTATGAAACGTCCCTCGTTCCTCGTGTTTGGCTTAACACCCAAACCAAACACAATGCAATGTAATGCATGCACGACTTAACAAAGCTAATGGCATGCAAACAATGCTAATGCAATATGAGCATGCAAGCATGCAATGTAACTCAAGCATGCAACAAAATACAATGGAACAAGCATGCAACAACATGCTATATGTCAAGTATGCAACAACATGCTACAACATGCAATGTACCAAGCAATGCAATAAGCATGCAACAACATGCAAAATGGACTTAAACTAAAATGGACAGACCTCAATCATGCCCAAATTAGTGGCCAAAATGATGAAATGATGGCATGAAAAATGAGAAAAATGCATGCACATGCAATGGCCCATTAACTAGGCATAGGAGCACAACTCTCAAACACGATCAAGAAGTGACAAATATGAGAGTGTGGCAATGAAGTAAGCTCTGAAATCATATGAGGGATGATGCCAAATCATGCACATAATACAAGCATAGCATGCTAGGAGGTTCAAAGCTTAAGGCTAGCCAAGGAGCTTGTACCAAGGCCACATGAATCAAGCCTCAAAGGGCCAAGGACAACCAAAATAGTCTTAGATCATGCCAAAATGAGTCTAAAACATGCATGGAGCACAATCAAAACAAGCTAGTATGAAGGGCTAAAACATGGATCATGCGAGGGTAATAGGGAGGATTACTCTACACCTACCAAGACCAAGCATGAGGCGACTATACCAACACAAATCAGAGTTATGGCATGTCAAAATAACATAAAAAATGCACTAAAATGATAGCCCAAAGGCCTAAGCATGGTGGCATGCACAATGACCCATACTTGAGGCATAAAGAACCAAACCTCCAAAGCATCAAAAGAGTGAAAGATGTGAGTGTATGACCACACTACATGGACTGAAATCACGTATGAAATGATGCCAAATCATGGAAAAGGTCCAAGCAATGCATGCTAGTGACTTGGAAACTCAAAGCTAACAAGCTAGAATGCACTATGGCTA